TCCACACTCAAATTTACCTTGATAGTAAGACACCAAAAGGATGATACTTCAATTTTTCAAAAAATTATTTGCCTCTCCAAATATAAATTGGCAAAATATTTAACTAGTTTCAAATCACAAAACAGTCAATATGGTTGTTTTATGATTTGAAACTTGTCAAATATTTTTCCAATTAATTTTTTTGTTTGATTTTTCAAAAAATTCAAAAAGCCCGCTCGTAGCGGCCATATTGAATGTTAGTACCACTCCAATTTGATAGATGGCAGCACATCGCCTCACAATTTTACCATTGAGTTTCCCATCTATTCACATTACCGTAATCTATGGTCGTAACTGTAAATATCTGATGGCTACTATTACCTCAGCGGGCACCATTCCCCCTTTTACCGTAAATATTCCCGATTTTGTTTATTGACTGGCAATTGTAAATACGCGTTTTTTAAATCTAAAACTAAATAAAACTTCTGACACACTGAAAAACATATCCTCTAACGTAGACAATGGGCAATGATCAGTTTTTAAAATGGGATTCAGGGTTTTTTTAAATCCCCGCTTATTTTTAAAGTGCCATTCTTCTTAGGGCCTACTACAATTGGATTGACATGTTTTAATATATTTTCATGAACCATTTCTTTCAGTTGTTTATTCACCCTTTCCCTAAGTGAAAATGGTACAGTATATGGTTTTTGAAAGGCTTTTGACATATTCTCGTTTACTACTAAATTAGCTTCAAAGCCTTGAATGTGACTTTTAGTTTCATAACTAAAAACCCTGGGATACCCACACTTAAATTTTTTTTGTCCAGGTGGGTGTTTTCTTTTCTTAAACAGCACAGCCTGTGTCTTCTCTGCGTTGACCTTAATCTTCCATCTTATGCACCATTCTTCTATGTCTTCTGCTGCGTCTTGTAGAAATCTTGATATGAGTCCTGGATATGTGCTTGTTGCCAATATCGCTGTGTCGTCCGCATAGAGGGCCATGGTAGTATGTTGTGAAAACTGACGTAAGGATCATTAATTTATATAGCTTGCTTGACCTTTCTCGAACTGCCCAGATTTTTCTTGACTATGAAGATTAGAGATAAGGAGGCGAATCGGCATACTCGAAATACAGTCATAAAAAACGAACGCTAATTGAGCTTTTTTAATTTACCGCAAGGGCGCTGGTGCTAGTAGCGCTGTTCAAAATACATGGCTTCTTATGGAAATTTTACAAAATTTTGTTAAAATATTAAAAATAACTTTATTGCCAAATAAAGTACAGAATATACAATTTTATATATTTTTAAATAAGTCTCGCATGTCTTAATTGATAAATTAATTTTATCTATATAAAATTCATGTTAGTTAGGTATAACCAAATTCGAAAAGATTTGTTAAATGGTGAAATTTGGTAAGTACAATTTTGTGTCTAAATTTTTTTGAATTGTACCTAAATATAGTTTTAAGAGCAAAAAAACAGTTAACAGATTTTTTTATTGTTATAATACAAGCATAAAGAGAATGTACATTATATTGCCTCATCCTTTAATTTCGGCTTTCCCCCTTTGTTTTGCTAACAGTACCATCAGTAAAAAAATCTCATAATAGTTGGAAATATCTTCTAAACAGCTCATCCCTTGAAAGTGCTTTATCGGAACTAGGAACGATATATATGCTGCCACTGTTCTAAGTGTTTAGGATCCTATAAAAAACATTTTCAATGACAAAATTAGAAGCTTTAAAAATACATCGAATTGATTTTTCCTTGTGTTTTCTTTAGTTATACATCTGATTTGTATCCCGTTTTACAATCTGGAACGAAGTAAATCTTGCTTTATATTTTTTAAATGACAAAAAACATAAAGCAAGATTTACTTCGTTCCAGATTGTAAAACAGGATACAAACTTATATATATATATATATATATAAATTTAAAAAATCTATTGACATTTGACAGTATATATAAAATACTCTATAATTTCGTCAAAACACTTAAGGTTCAAATTGTAATTAGAAAATAAAAATAAGAAATGTAAGTAGCGAGGCTACCATTAAAATTATTTGTAACCCTGACATCAAAAAAAAAAAAATGTTAAGAAACGGAAAAAAATTAAAGACCAAAGAGAAAAATTAAAAAAAAACTTTTAAACCCTATTTAGTTCAGGTTATTTTAGTTAAGTTAAAGCAAAATTAAATTTGGTCTGAAAAATAATAAAGTTTGTTATACGATAATTTCATTTGTTCACCTACCAATTGATTGGCCTGTTGGTTTATATCCAGTGCTACTAACTAAGAAAAAATACAACCTCACTCTGGACAATCTGGACGTTGATCCTCTCCAAGTCAACTCAACGAGTCGACTGATAATTTCCTAGATGTGATTAATACCTAGATGCATTATGGTTACAACCATGGTTAAACCCGAGAATAACGATCAAGGAGAAGCGACAGTAGCTGTCGGTGCCTTTGATATCGGATGTACCTTTTTCACAGCATGACTTTGATTGATACACAACTTAGCACGCTGAGAAAACATGCATATTTTCTACACTGAGCGAAATAGTTTGGCAAATTATCTGAAATCATTGTTATAGTCCATGCGCAAATGTTGTAATGTGATTTAATTACATTGAAGTAGTTAGGGTTATTAACAAAGGTGAAATTTCGGCACCAAAATATAATTCATTATGTAATAATTAATTATTTGTCATAAAAGTGAAAGACGTTTATTATTTTATAATTTATCTATAAAATTTGTTCAATATTTGGTTTATTTATTGATAAAAATGTAATAAAGGCCCCATTTTTAAATTAAATTACCTTTTCCTTAAGTAAAAATAAGGTAAATAAAATTAAGGGTACCAAACAAAATTTAGGTAACAATTAAAAAGACATTAAGTTTGAGAGATTTAACTAAATATTTGCAATGTGCTTATATTTTCAAAACTTTTAGGTTTAAAAAGTACTTACATATTTTTAGAATTTCTGGATTTATATTATATTAAAAGGACTTTCAAGTTTATCACTCATTTCTGTATAAACAAGTGTTTTCTCGCCAAGTTAAGCCAGATGTCATTTAAGGTTTATGTATTTAGAGTTAAATACCTGGCCTGGCTATCACCCAGACAATACAAATATGTCCATTGGACGTCCATTCGATATACAATTTTGGATGTCTAGACGTAGAAAAATTAGTTTTTTCTGGACTTCCGACATCCAATGGACGTCCATTCGATATACAATTTTGGATGTCTAGACGTCCAAAAATTAGTTTTTTCTGGACTTCCGACATCCAATGGACGTCCAGTGAAGTATACAAATGGCACACTTTTTACCATTCAGAGGACGTTCAATTCTGGAATATATTTGGACGTCGAATACTGGACATTCAAAAAACGTACAGGATTATATTTCCATTGAGACCACATCCCCACTTTTTTTACAGAACCGCAACTTACCACACACTATTTTATATTATTAATAATTTGTTTATTATTTTCGCAAACCGCTATACACCATTTATTTTTTTTTTATTAAAAATTTCTTGACCTGAGCACGAATCGAACTCACGACACATCCATTATCGTTTTACGCTTTCAATTGCTAGACGAGCTCGACCAAGAAACCATTTGAAAACTTTTTATTAGATACAGTTATAATTGAATAAGATTTCAAACTTCCGCTGATAGAATGAAATGCAATAGATTCAATTTGTAAATTTTTAATGACCAGTTATATTAAAAAAAGAAATATATATTATAGATGAGTATTATCTGGTAGGCTTAATAAATAATGACCTAAGATGGACGTCCACTGGACGTCAAAATACTACCAAACTAAAAATTAAGACCAAAAACAGACGTTCTCTGGGTATCGATATTCAGCTGTCAATTTAATTAGCATAAACGGACGTACACTGGATGCCCGGATATGGACGTCCTGACCCTCAAATAGATCTAAAGTGGACGTACATTAGACTATGTGTGCTGTCTGGGCATAGACGAATTTTTTGAAATAGTACTTATTTAAGTATTCACCAATATTTCCAAAATCAACTCCAGTATGATTCATTCAATAAATTTAAATATAAATGGACAAAACATCTTTATATTGACATAATTGTACCTTACAATTTAGCCATAATAAAGGGATTTCGCCCATTTTGACCAATCCTAATTGAAACACGCGGATTTACTAAATTTTTTTAAATATAATTTTCAAATAAAATAAACAAAATCTCCAGTTCATTGTTTATTAAATTTATTTAAAAGAAGAAAACATATGTATATTTCACAAAATACAATACCTACATATGAAAAATAAAATTTCAAAAATGATTAAATCATTATACTTTATATTTATGCATGCGATAAAATTCTTAGTTTCCTAATAACTTTTTTGGCACATTTTATATCTGCATTAGAATACCTAAGTGTGTAAAAATCTTCATCTTATTACTACACAAAACAAACACCGAAAAATATCACTTAACATTGCTCACGTACTAAACACAACTTGGACTGACTTTGACAGATATCATTTTGAGTGATACACAACTTATTTTCGCACATGCGAGTTACAAAACGGTACGCTAAAAACACCAAGCTGTCGCTTCTCCTTGATCGTTATTCTCGGGTTAAACTTTAAAAGTTGGAAGTTAAAAGTCAGAAGCCATATATTCGCTCTCTAAACAAAAATAATCTCTGTTTTTCACGATGGCCTTGCAAGAAATATAACTATATTTTCATATATTTTTAATATATTTTTGATATACGTAATTCAAAAACTATTATAAATGATTTTCTATTTTCTTACAAAATATATCTGAAAGCATCATACTTTTCCATATAGATCAAAATTCAATGTTTTATTATATCAATATTGCACTAACATAACCCAATGCAAAGAATTTGTAGATACGCCAATTATTAATATTATTATTATAATAATAGATAAAAAAATATGCCTTATTATTTTTTCTTATCGTCTTTAACATTTGTTAATAATTTCCATAGTGTGTTAGTTGTGAAAAACATGGTGTACAATTTTTTCGAACGATGTCTCTTCCAAGGACGAATGTTGCAATATTTGGCTGTTTTTGGAGGTAAGTCTCTAATTTCAATACATTAAGATTCTTAACTATAACCTATAGAGAATTCTGGGAAACCTATAATAAAAATAACATTATTAACCTAAAGGACCCTGCAATAATCTTATGGAAATTGGGTTTCTGTCAAATTGTCAGAATTTTTGATATGTTGTAGATTTTGTCATCCTGAACAAAAGTCTCCATGGGCACAAAGTGCCAAAATTAATATTTTGGCAGCTCAAAGCTCCCTGACCCGTTGCGAAACTATTCATTTTCAATACTATTTACAGATGTCAAAAGCATATTTTAATTATTATAATATATAGGGTAATGTTTTTGAGGTCACTAGATTCAACCCTCATGTCAGATTGGACAAATTGACCGTTGACAGTGTAATCAGCCTCTCCTATATAAATTTGTTAACCCGTCTGTACCGACGGAGTATTTTGTGGAGTGCGTACCGGGAGTGTACCTAGCCAGACGGAAAAGGTGGACAAAGAGAGATTGATGAGCGAACCGAAATTAGGACAGTCACCTGGCGTATGTGCTACAGGCAAGGTGATCATAGAATCTGTTTTTTTGTTGAGCTTCGTTGAGCTAAAGCTAATTTGTTTGATTTTACGTTTATTTAAAAAGTTCATTTTAAATAAAGTTAATTAAATTGTGAAGAAAGTGTTTTAGTAATTGGTTTCTCCTACAAGAACCCCACCCACAAGAGAGAATTCTACAATTGGCGCCCAACGTGCGGCAGGAGAAAACTTGTGAACACTGGAAACGCAGGAAATAAAAAGGTCAGATCTTCACAATTCTATTTAGTCTAGGACAATTAAGTTCAGTTATTCACTGTATACTGTTACCCTTGGGTAAAATATATATATAAAAAAAAAACTATAGTTCTCAGTGACGGAATAATGCCTCCAAAAAGAGGAAAAAGAAAAGACAAAAATTTCTATGATGAACATTCAGAAAACAGTAATGATAATCGGGAAATAAACTACTACATTCGACAAATTTAATAAATCTTTGAACGAAAATTTAAACACTTTGATGTCTGAGTTTAATAGAACAATTGAAAACAATATGTTACAAATTTCAAATAATTTGCAAAAATTGTCATTATCTGTAAAACAGCCTAATACTGTAAACGAAGGCAGCAATAATAATGAGGCGAATTACAATCTTGAGGGTACAAGTAACAGTAATAGCGATCCTTCAATAGTAAATCGTAACTATATTACAATGTGGAAAGATTTGGGGGGTCAGAATTTACAATTTTCGCCTAATAGTTCAACCCATCCGGTATATTTTATTAATAAATTAAAAACAATTTTATGCGAAGCTGGCGTTCCGGATAACAAAAAAACTTATTTTGCTATAGGATGTCTCAGGGGTACAGCTCAAGATTGGGCCGAGCTTAAAGAGTTTAGGGAATTTGATGATTTTAAAAATCAGTTTTTGGCACGCTACTGGAATGTAGAAAAAGAAAGAGAGACATTTTCCAAGTTAAAATTCGGCGAGTATGAACGTGGAGCGCGAGCGGAGTATTTTTTAAGATTATTTAAAGAATCTAAATATTTAACTCAAAAATTATCGGACAGTGAGGTAATCGACATGATAATTAATCATTTTCCGTTAGATATTCGTAGGGGATTAGTTAATTGCGCATACAAATCAATCGATGAAATCGAACAATATTTAATGAAAATCGATCGTATTGAAGACGACGGTCAATGACAGGTAACCAATAGATATAATCGGCGCGCTCAGGGAAACAGACAAGTTGCAACGAATTGGCGACACGACAATTCGCAACAGGGGTGGGAAACTGGTATGCGCAGGCCTGGGATCAATCAACCAAGTCCGCGTGGCGCTGCAGTCGGGTGGTGGGGTAGGTGGTGGGAGTGTAAATGACAGGTGAATATTGATTTTTGTGGGGGTGTCATGGCGTCTTGGCTTAAACCAAACGTTAACTTTGTTTATTTATAGGGTGACTGTTGTATTCAGTTGTTTTCATTTCCAATTTGCTTAATTGATTTAGTTGACCACTGTTAATAAGCTTGTTTTTCCATTATAAATTTGTGCTTTTTCCGCTGTTATTTTGTGGTTTTTCATAAAGATGCGTAATTATAGAAAATGTTGTGTACCGAATTGCCTTGTTGTGGACAACAAGATGCATCGCCTGCCTCACCCTACGAATGCATCCGATTTATTTGATATTTGTGCACTTGCTGTTCGTTGTCCAAGATTTAATAATAAAACAAGACTACAAATTTATTCCACCTTTGTAGTATGTCATAAACATTTTGAAGAGAAGTATAAAGTAGTTGGCTCTCGTCGAGGTCTAACACCTGAAGCATTTCCAACGCTATTCCCACCAGCAGTTCCTGGAAGAGTAACGGATGGACTTTCCTCAAATAATGTAGAAATTGAATATGTTGATCAAACACCTTCTACTTCAAGTAAAGGTTCGAAGAAGAAGCAGACTAATAATATATGTTGGACTTCTTTTCGAGAAGGAAAGTTAGTAATCTACTCATTTATTTTATACTTATACTGTGTATTTTCTGTTTCATGACATTTGGGGTTGCAAAGCTGTATCGTAGAAGAAGAAGCAGACTAATAATATATGTTGGACTTCTTTTCGAGAAGGAAAGTTAGTACTTATTTATTTTATACTTATTGCTGTGTTTGAGAATCCACATCAGATGCATTTTTTACATCTCGAGCGTTTTTTTATCCACATACCTATATATAAAACGTTTATTTAGTCAAAAAAACTATTTTTTACATGTCAATACATCTTCACGTTTAAAATATAAAAAAAAAAAACCTAAATATAGAATCAACATACATTTAAAATGCAATAAAAAATACATAAGATACAGTACACTTACATGTCAACTATACAAAACAATAAAAGAACAAGAAAGAGAAAAAAAAAACGTCAATAGGTGAACAGGTATTCATGCAGTTTTATTTTAAATATTGCCACATTTGAAGAACATTTAATATCCTCAGGCAAATTATTAAAAGCCTGTACACCTTTAAAAAACACTGAATTTTGTGAACATTTTTCTTGTTACCTGTTTAGGTTCATGAACATCCTGATTATAACTTAAAATATTTTGTAAATATACTCGGGAGATTCCTGATTTAATTTTAAATATAAAAAGCAGGGAATAGAATAGCAAATATTTTTTAACAGTCAACCACTGAAGCACATTCAACATGGAATTGATTGGTTCCAATCTCGAACGGCTCAGTATTATCCTCAGACCTCTATTCTGCAACTTTTGCAATCATTGCAACTCATTCTGGTTGAGCAAATACAGTATAGTGGCACAATAATTAAAATAAGGTAATATTAAGAGTATTATAAATTATTATTTTAGTCCATTTGCCGAGATGTGGAGAACAGCGCCTCAAATAGTTTATTTTAAATCTGACACATCTGTCCCATTACAATTACGTAAACTGAATCACGTGATCAAAGATTTACTACATCTCAGTTGCATCCGATGTGGATTCTTAAACGCGGCATATACTGTGAAATTTGTGTTTCATGACGTTTGGGGTTGCAAAGCTGTATCGTAGATGTTGGGCTTATTAAAAAATAAAGTATTCCTCGGACTTATAATTTTATATTAATACATTTATTTTAATGAGATTGTACTTATACTGTCTTTCTTTTTTCATAGCTAAAGTTCTTCACAAAATGATGGACAGTGTTGTATCCTGGAATATGTAGCAGCCATCCAGCTACTTCATACATAATACAATTTTCATATACATTACATTTTTTAAATATTGGATTTGTATTTTATATATATTCTTTAATAAATTTATTTTTTGAATATTCTTGTTTTTTTTATCTAAAAACTGTTAGCCAAATTAAGATTTGTTCACACAAACTGCATTTTTGCTTTATTATAGCGATATTCGCTATAATAAAGCAAAAATGCAATTTGTGTGAACAAATCTTAATTTGGCTAACAGTTTTTAATGCGGATAATTTTTACTGTCAAATTTGAATAGCCCCGCGCTTTTCTTCTCTTCTTCTTTTTATTATTTTCTCTTCTTTCATATGGCCTCTTACCAGACAAGGACTTAATTGAAAAAAAATCAACCACGTCCACCAGGTGCCGCTAAAAACTCTATCATCCTTTTTTAACATGGGAGATACCGTTCTAAGAGTAAGCGTTCTGTGATTCGCAAGAAGACCGGGAAGCCGAGAACAGACCTAGGGAAATGGCAACAATTTTGAATCGGGAGTTTGATGAAGTGCTAGAGGAGACGGAACTCGATATAAAGCCAATTGCGGCTTTGCCAACTATTCAAATAAATATTGAAGGTCAGGACATTAATGTTTTGATTGATTCGGGAAGTCAAATTACTGGGATAAGTGAAGTATTTTTAAATGAACTAATTAAAATTAATCAGAATATTCCGCGCATTCCGGCAAAATGTTCTACTCTAATGGGAGCTTTTGGTAGTAAAGCTGCCAAAATTCGTGAACCGGTATTTTTAAAGTTTACTTTAGCAAATGTTGAATTTGAATACTCGTTTGTAGTGGTACCGGGTTTAGTTAGAAAGTTAATTAAAGGTTGCGATTGGCTACGTGATAACAATGTGCTGGTAAATTTTGTTGATGGGGTATTAGAATTTCAGCGAGAAAATTCGGTAAATAAAGTAAAGTTTGGTAGTGAAGCTATCTCGGGAGTACACATCACAGTAGCTGAAATAACGGACGACGAATATAATGACCCTATAAAACAAGATATCAGTTCATACTCAGAAATAAAAATTCGCGAAACATCCCATAAGGCAGAGTGTTTCGACACTAATCAGAAAAATGATTTGTATGAGTTATTATGGGAGTTTAAAGACGTATTTTCAGACCAATCGGGTATGATTAATTGTTATCAACATGAAATTGAAATGCGGGACGAATCGCCATTTTTCGTAAAATCGTATCCGATACCCCACGCGTACAGAGAGGAAGTGAGGGCTCAGAT